GGGGGTTGGGGGAGGCCAGGCAGCACCGGGCTCCCAGGAGTTCACCGCGCAGATCGCTGCAGGAAGCAGGCCCTCCTTTCCCAGCGGGTCACCTGGGTGCCTCGGGGCAGCAGAGGGCGCCGTGGAGCCCGCGCCTGGACCGCGCCCCCGTGACGTATTTCCGCGTCATCTGCCGCCGAGGTTTGCTCCCATTGGTTGTCGGCCAGGCCATAGGGGCGGAGCCGAGTGGGTGTGTGGAAAGCGCCGCAGCCCGGGCGGGGGCTAGGCTTCCCCTTCTCCGCCCCTCCCCCGCCCTCCAGTCCCTCTTGGGGACGGCTGCGCGGCGCTGCTGGGAGCGCGGCGACGGCGGCGGCTGCACTTTCTCGGGCTGGAGCTGGAGCAGGGCTCTGGCGTGCGCGCGGCGGGGCCGCTCGAGCCGGAGGGACTGGTTGGCTGAGAGAGACGGGAGGGAATCCCGGGCTGCCAAGCCGCAAGTACAGCCCGCTCCGCGCCGGCAGGGCAACCCTTTTGGCTCCCTGCACCCCGAACCCCGGGCAAGTGGGGCGGGGGTCCCCGGAGACCGCCGCCGGCCGCTCGACGCTGACAGGACCGCGCGGGACCCGCCCCCGGTAGCCGGCCCCCGGGCCCGCGGCCCCGACTTGGCCCCGCGCAGCGGGCGCGGGGCAGCGGAGAGGGAGGAAGCGAGAGGGGCCGCCCTCCCCCCTGAGTCGTCAGCGCCTTCCCCGGGTCCAAAATGCCCAAGAAGAAGCCGACGCCCATCCAGTTGAACCCGGCCCCCGACGGCTCCGCGGTTAACGGGACCAGCTCTGCGGAGTAAGTATGAGGTGGGCGGCGAGCGCCGGGGCCGGGCCGGGGAGGCCCCCGCTTGGGCGCAGGAGCGCCCGCCGGGCTCCGCTGCGGCTCGTCACGTACGTCTGGGGCTGGCAGGGGGCGAGGAATTCCCGGCCGCCGAGGTATCAGTGACTAAGCACTGATTGTGCTCCTGACTCAGACTAGTTAGTGCACCCAGCGAGTCTCGATTGCACCCCTTTCCCGACCCTTTCAGTCGTCCCTGTCCAGTCGTCTTCTCCGGAGAAAATAAAAGCTGGCACATTCCTCGTCCCTCGTCCCAGCTGTTTTCTAAATGTGATCCTCTGGGATTATGGCCTTTAACAGGGAGAGGACGCAAATGTCTTGGAAAGAATTAAGATCGCATCTGCGCCTTTGAGACTGGCTCAGGATAGGGAGTGTGGACTTGGAACTGGGGAACAGCACCATCACCTTGGTGCCTGACACCTGTGGGGCTGGATGGAGTGCCTTGTTGCAGGCCAGCTGCCTGGCCGGGGGGGCATGTACAGACGTCCCCGTGGCTTTTCCCTTGCTGAGTTTGGGGGCTTCTGGTCCTTGGCTTTCCTGGGAACTGTCTTGCTCAAAGGAAGGGGCTTGCTTTTTCATTCATTCATTCAACAAACCATCTCCTCACCAATGACTCCCTGGCTTTCCTTACTTGACCTAAGCTCCTGACCTGAGACAGGAACACCATGGCAACCACATGCGAGGTGCTCCATATTTGCAGCTTTCAGTGTTGCTCGCAAACCAGCACCTTACTTCATTAAATAACCATGAGACTATTCCATGGGGGTTTCTGAACTCCCACAGCTTTTTTAGGTCCTAGGTAAGGCACAAGACTATGTGAGAAAGAGACACTTGGCTAGCTCGAGAAATAACCAGAAAAGATTACGTTCTTAATCTTTTACCTGCACACTGCAGACTTTAGGAAGCTAGCTGATGAAATGAGTAGAGTAGACCAGGACCCTCTGCCCTTTGGTAATTTCTGTAACCTCCCTTCCTCTCCCTTGATGTTAATAACCCTGGGACCTGTTGGCAGTGATTCTGTCCATCCCTGTAATGATCACAAGGCTGGTGGTGGACCTGTGGTATGAGCTCAGGCAGTTTCCTCACACCTGCTCCCACAGACTTCCTTCTTTAGGCCCCTCCCCTCCTCAGTATTGTCGTGTGTGTTTTGCATGATACTGACTTGTACAGGTCAGTGGATTGCATTGCAAGCATTTGTTCAGTTTCAGTGTATAATATTTTACCCTTTCAAAACAGACTGAAAGTCCCCCAGGGCAGGGGATTCTTCATCAGTCCTTACTGTTTTCAGGACAAGTTTTGACCATAGTGGATTCTGGCTGAATGTCGTGGCCTGATGATCCTTTTCCTATTTAATTTGGAGGTGGATACTGAGTGGAAGTATCTATTATCATTCTGTTGTTAATTGTGACCCCACAGCTGTATTCTCTCAAAGGGGAGGAATTTCATTAAAAGAAAATAGAAGAAACTACCCCAGAGTTGTTGACAGAAAAATTTGGATTGGGAGATTCTAAACAGTAGTTAAGAGGTTGGGCTCTGGAGTCAGGCTAAATTTGAAGCCTAGCTCTGTTACTCGTGGTTTTATGACCTGGGACAAATTTTTGTCTAAGGCTTAGGTTTAGTTTGTTTGCAGAAATAGGGCTAATAACAGAAACTACTTAGAGTAGTTGTGAAGATTGGATGAGCTAGTACATAGAAAACCTTCCAGAAATGTTGGCTGCTGGTGCCTTTGTTAATGGGTAAGCGTTGAGAAGGTTGCAGGAAACTGGAAGGTAATTTCCATTCATGGTGGTGGATGTGTGTGTGAAGGTGCCTTTGCTTCTGGACAAACAACTCTTCCTAGCTTAGTTTCTTGTGCCTTCTGCATCTACCTCCATGACTCATTGCTGTGTTACAATAGAAGGCATCTTTGTGTAGGCTGCCTGAACCAAACAGGGACTGTTCCCCTGCATTTCCTAGCGCTAATGCGAGGGAGAGCCGTACACATCTTCATCTTTCACCTCTGAGTGTTTCTCAAGCAAAGCTTCTCTTGTCTTGGGCTGCCAGCAGAAAGAACTCTGTTGCTTTCGTGATTTCTGTGTTAGAGTGGGGCACAGTTTTAAATACTATCAGATAATGTAACTAAAGAAAAAAAATCGACCAATGGTAAAGAACTCTTGGTACCAAATTGGCAAGGTTGGTTTTCCCCTGGCATCTTGGGTTTACCTCTGTCATAGGACTTACCCCATTCAGAGATGGAGTTGGATATTATGGGACCTGAGGTTTATACAAGTTCTGGGGGTCCTCAAAGAGAAATTATGTAAAAATATCTCTTTCGCAAATATTGCAAAAATGTGAGCGTATTGCTAGGATCTTAAGTGTTAGAATGAAATAAATTGAAAATAAGATATTCCCCTGTTTAAAATGTTTTTCTGGGGTTCCATTGCAGTTAGAATAAAATCCAAACACCTTTATATTGGGCTGTGAGACTCTGAATTATCTGCCTGCTGTCTCCCTCTCTCCCCCTACCCCCACACCCAATCTCTTTAACCACATTTCCTGCCGCTCCTTTCTTCTGCCACACTGGTCCTCTTTCACTTCCTCCACCTTGGGATGGTCCTTGTACTTACTCCTGGCCCTTTGCTGCAATGAATTAACCTCCTTCTTCCCTGGCTAGGTAGGAAGCAGTCTTTACCTATCTGCTTAAATGTCATTTCCTCAGAGATGCTCACAGACCACCTAATCTAAAGTAGGTCCCTCTTTCTTGTGTCACCTGAGTTTTAATGAGACTTTAATCATTGTCTGTAATTTTTTACTGGGGTGTTTTAAATATCTGT